AACAATTTTTTTTAACAGTAACACAGTATCTGACTACATATATCTAACTATCCAATATTGTTGTAATACACTACGGTAATTTTTATGATTCTACACAACAGAGAAAGTAATTAATACAAAAATCAAATAAACATCTCACCACACCCCGGACGTCAGACTAGGCAACTCTCCCGTGGATTTAGCTGGCAGTGGAACGCCTTTAGACTGATATATAGGCAAGTGATAGATTCAATAGGGGAGAATGTAGGAAGTTATAAGTTTAGAGGTTTAAAGTTTTAGGAAGTTTGAAAAGATGGAAGAGTAGTTATTTCAGCAGAGATCTTCTTCAGATGTCAGGTCTTTCCATGAGGTCTTATGAGGGTTCTTCTTTTTCATGAGGTTTTTTTTTTTTTTATGTTACAGCACATGGGCTTTTTATATCCACTAGTCCATTGTTCTAAGATACCTTCCCACCAGGCTTCCTGATTGGCTAGTTGAGAAATGTGTGTACATAAGCTATTTCTCACCTGCCCGCCAGGTGGCGGTCATGTATCACAGAACAATGTGAGTATTTGAGATGACTCATACCTTGGGTGGAATCTTCAGGTAATTTCAGGAATAAAATATACGGCACTTTCCAGATATAGCAGTGATCATACCTATGATATATTCTAATAGGGACCATGGAATATAGGTGTATATTCGGTTATTCCTCCTTGAAGTATCATCCTGTTTGTTTCCTGATAAGACATGTAACTAATGCTAGTTTATAATACATCTTACTTCCCATCATCTCAATACTCAAGTTAGTGATATATAGTTCCCATTGCTGAGTATTTAGTGGTGTTTAAAGTCTATGACATCTTATTTATAATCTGTTTTTGTAGTACATTTTTGTAATGATATACAGTGAACTTTTAAACTTAAATGTCCTGAATTTCACCCCTTGGTTTCAGCATCAACATTTTCTCTGTGTAGGGAAAAAAAATCTCTGTTTGCCTAGCCCTTGTATTGGACTCATGGTAAACAATTGTTAATGCTTTCACCCTTGGTGAACAATAGTAGATAGTAATAGTTTCAGAGGTTTGTTGGTTCATCACACTCTACAAGGTTTGGGTAAGCTCTCAGACAATCAGTTTGGTTCCTCTATTGTCATGTCCAGACCTTGTATATGTTTACCTGCTTATTGAAGTCTGAATAATGGTGTTTGATCACCTGAGAACTTTAAAATAGTATTGTCTCTAGGAGGAAAGAAAAACAATCCCTTTACCCATTACATTTCTCTAGCTAGATGGTTCAACCAAGACAAAATTAACTCTTAGCATCCGGCTATTGCTGAGCTGTTTGCGCGGTGAACGGGGCTCGTCCATTCCGTGTATCTGATCGCTTGTTATACCAGTGTCAGGTGGACACTTAACTTTGTGAGTAAGATGAGATTGCAATAAAAAGTTTATATGGTTCTTACTTACTGCACCATCATGCCTTTTCTTTATTTTTGAGTGGTATTACTATACATTTGGAGGATGATCGCTATATAAGGAGTCTTGGCCATACCTCAAAGTCACTGCAGAGTATTGCTCCTGATATCTGGAAGTGTCTACACTATAGAGTGCTGCTTCATGATCTACTTACTCTCATCGCTCCCAGAGCAAACACGCTTGTGCTGATTTATAATCTAATCAGCATTGAGCTCTGGTGAGTTTATTCCATTCATTTGGTGGTGGATTAAGCACGGTGGATTTATATGTTTAAAGAAGAATTTTTGTTTGGGGTGTCAGACATTTTTTTCTACACACTTTTATACACTAAATTTATGGATTGTTTTCACTGGAGATTTTTTATCTATTGTATTTAATATGTTGGGACTTTTATACACATATTATTTGTGATATTATTTTTGATATATTTAGCGCATTCCGATTATTGATTTTTTTATGTTTCACCAATATTTGGGTTAGAGGTTTGCTGCTGTAGAGGATTAATATTATTGATTGGCGCTTTCTTCTTTTTGTATGTTTTCTTTAATTGCACATAACATGTAAACATTCACAGTGCAGGGAGGAAAAAGTATGTGAACCTTTGGACTTAATAACTGGTTGACCCTCCTTTGGCAGCAATAACCTCAACCAAATGTTTCCTGTAGTTGCAGATCAGACCTGCACAATGATCTGGAGTAATTTTGGACCACTCCTCTTCACAAAAACTGTTTCAGTGTAGCAATATTCTTGGGATGTCTGGTGTGAATCGCTCTCTTAAGGTCATGCCACAGCATTTCAATCGGGTTGAGGTCAGGACTCTGACTGGGCCACTCCAGAAGGTGTATTCTGTGCTGTTGCAGCCATTGTTTTGTTGAATTACTTGTATGCTTTGGGTCATTGTCCTGTTGCATCACCCATCTTCTGCGGAGCTTCAGTTGGCGGACAGATGGTCGTACGTTTTCCTGCAAAATGTCTTGACAAACTCTGGAATTCATTTTCCCATCAATGACAACAATCCGTCCAGGCCCTGAGGCAGCAAAGCAGCCCCAAACCATGATGCTTCCTCCGCCATGTTTTACAGTGGGGATGAGGTTTTGATGTTGGTGTGCTGTGCCTTTTTTTCTCCACACATAGTGTTGTGTGTTCTTCCCAAACAACTCAATCTTGGTTTCATCTGTCCACAGTATATTTTTGCCAGTAGTGCTGTGGAACATCCAGGTGCTCTTTTTGCAAACTTCAAACGTGCTGCAATATTCTTTTTGGACAGCAATGGCTTCCTCCGTGGTGTCCTCCCCATGTACTCCATTCTTGTTTAATGTTTTCCTTATGTGTAGATGTGTCAACAAAAATGTTAGCATGTGCCAGAGATTTCTGTAGGTCTTTAGCTGACACTCTGGGATTCTTCTTTACCTCATGCAGCATTCTGCGCTGTGCTCTTGCAGTCATTTTTACAAGACGACCACGCCTAGGAGAGTAGCAACAGTGCTAAACTTTCTCGATTTGTAGACAGTCTGTCTTACCGTGGACACATGAACATCAAGGCTTTTGGAGATACTTTTGTAACCCTTTCCAGCTTCATGCAAGTCAACAATTCTTGATCGTAGGTCTTCTGAGAGCTCTTTTCTGCGAGGCATGGTTCACATCAGACAGTGCTTCTTGAAACCAGTAAACCCAAAAAAGGTGTGTGTTTTTTAAGGGCAGGACAGCTGGCAGCAACACATCTCCAATATCATCACACTGATTGGAGTCAAGGTTGGCTCACTCCTGGCTCCAATTAGCTGTGGGAGAAGTCATTCAGCTAGGGCCTCACATACTTTTTCCTCCCTGCACTGTGAATGTTTACATGTTATGTGCAATTAAACCATGGGAACATCTAATGTTTGTGTAGTATTATGTGTTCAGCAGACTGTGTTCTTCTATTGTTGTGACTTAGATGACGTTCAGAGCACACATTTTATGCCCAATTCATGCAAAACTCCACGTAATCCCAAGGGTTCACATACTTTTTCTTGCAACTGTATTTAACATACTCCAATGTCATAAATCACATTTATATTTTCTTACCTCCCACCCCACCTCCCGCAGACACCCCTCCCAACTTACCCTGGTCCATATCTTAATTAACTTAAGTAACTTAGTTTTAACTCGTCTTGTATTTATCCACCCTTATCTGTATCCCTTTCCCTTTCTCACCCATTTTCACTTTTTATATTCTCCATTATATTCTCTCTGGATTGTTCTCCTAACTCCTGATCCATTCCACATATCTCTTAGCTGTTTTAATTTCTAACCAACATCCCCACAGAATCCCATGTTCTTCGTTTTTGTCTTCCACCACATGACACAGCTCCTCCATCCAAAAAATATTTCCACTCTATTTAACCAATCCTGAATTCTTGGTGGCTCCAACACTTGCCAGAATTTAGGGATCAAGCTCTTGGCTGCATAAATTAGATGATATAATATTCTATTTTTATTATTAGCAGTTAGAGGCTCTAGAAAAAATAAACACATCAACAGATCTGTTTGTATAATATTCCCACTGATTTCCTGAATGCCGTGAATTATTTCCTTCCAGAACTTTTGTATTTTCTGTCTGTCCCACCAAATGTGTGTCATTGTACCCTTTTTACCACAACCTCACCAACACAAAGGTGAAACATCAACTTGCTGCATGTGCGCCACACTCGGTGTAATGTACCATCTCGTCAGACATTTATAATTCATTTCTACTGTGCTCATATATGTCGCCTCATGTGTAAAATTACATATTTTATTCCATTGTTGTACCTCCAATTTTGTTCCTAACTCCCTTTCCCATTTTTCCAAAAACCCGGAAAGATCGACTCCCTCCATATCTATGAGTATCTTATATATCCTAGAAGTAATTTGTTTCAGAGCTATATTAACATTTATCAGTTTTTCAAATGGATACATATCCTCCCCAATACTCAATGGATGGGGGAGCGATGAAACAAAATGTTTTAGTTGTCCATACCTCCCACTCATTTAACCACTTGCCTACCAGGCACTTATACCCCCTTATTTACCAGGCCAATTTTCAGCTTTCAGCGCTGCCCAATTTGATTGACAATTGCGCACCCCGCGCGGTCATGCAACATTGTACCCATATGAAATTTTGATCATTTTTTTTCTCACAAATAGAGCTTTCTTTTGGTGGTATTTAATTGCCATTGGGCGCTTTGCTTTTTGCGCTACAAATAAAAAAAGTGCAAAAAATTTGAAAAAAAAAAAAAGTTTCTTTGTTTCTATTATAAAATTTTTTCAAACAGGTAATTTTTCTCCTTCACTGATGTGCGTTGATGAGACAGCACTGATGGGCACTGATAGGCGGCACTGATGGGCACTGATAGGCAGCACTAAAGGGCACTGATAGGCAGTACTAATGAGGTGGCACGGATAGGCGGCACTGATAGAACGCACTAATGAGGTGTCACGGATAGGCGGCACTAATATGCAGCACTGATAGGCGGCACTGATAGGTGACACTTATGATGGGTACTGATAGACGGCACTGACTGGCATCACTGCTGGGCACTGACTGGTGGCACTGACTGGCACAACCGCTGGGCACTGACTGGTGGCACTGACTGGCAGCACTGGTGGGCAGCACTGGTGGGTGGCACTGGTGGGCAGCACTGGTGGGTGGGGCACAAGTGTGTGGCACTGGTGAGCACAGGTGGGTGGGCACAGGTGGGTGGCACTGCTGGGCACAGGTAGGTGGCACTTCTGGGCACAGGTAGGTGGCACTTCTGGGCACATGTGTGTGACACTGCAGAGTGGCACAGGTGGGTGCACTGCTGGGCACAGGTGGGCGGAGCTAGTGGGCACACTGCTGGGCACAGGTGGGCGGAACTTGCGGGTGGCACTGCTGTTCACCGATCATCAGGGCACTGATCATCAGTGCCCTGATGATCGGTGCCGATCCTCGCTCTGACAACTGCCGGTTCTCGGCAGTACTTTCCTCACGATCTGACAGCGTGAGGAAAGTGCAGCCGAGAACCGGCACTTGCATTTCCCTGTGATCAGCGTGTCATTGGACACCGCTGATCACGTGGTAAAAGGCCGCTGTGATTGGCCTTTTACCACATCACGTGATCAGCTGTGTCCGTAGGACACAGCGATCACGGAGATCGCCGGGTGCGCGCCCCCTGGGGCGCGCAGGAGAGCGCGTTCTGGGAGGACGTCATATGGCGTCCACCCAGAACTGGCCGGCCGCAGTGTAACCGTCATTTGGCTATCTGCGGTCGGCAACTAGTTAATGTGACAACAATAACTTTTCTCCCTTAACTCTTGATACGTGTATAACGTCTCCTTATTCAACATATACTTCAAACATGCATTTTTATCCTTAATCCATTTACCAAAAATTGTATCTTTCCCCAAGGGGAAATACTCTGTGCCCACCAATTTATATTTCCAAACGTTCTGCTTATACATTCTATCCCAAACCCTTAATACTTTTTTTTTGTGAGAGGACTCATGCCTTCATCTAATAAAGGAAGTGGTGCCTTGCTTAGTGTTCCTTCCGTGTTTACCCACCCTTTCCCTTGTGAATTAAATGTCCAATCAACTATTTGTGATTATAAAATTGCTATATAATATTTTCTAAAACTAGGCAAACCCATTACCCCATTCTTTTTCATCCTACACAATACCTCATGTCTAATTCTCGGTTTCTTATTTGCCTATATATATATATTTTTTTTATTTAAATATTTATTAAATTTTTCATGTTAATACAAATACCCAAAAAGGGAAATAATTCTCATACAAATAGACATTTATAACATTTCTACCTTTCCCTTACTAAAAACTCTTTTCTTTCCCATCCCACTACCCCCCCTTCCCGCCCCTCATCCCCCCTCCTCCCCCTCTGCAGACTCCAGCCCATTCTAATCACTTGAGGCTTATTAATTTTTTGCTAACATCCTAGTTCATATTTTCCTATATTTCTCTTTCAATCCCGCTCTTTCCCACTTTTCCCATCTCTTAAAATAAACTCTCATCCTATCTTTTGTATTAACAATTTTTATTGGTTTTCAAATAAGTAAATTATAAACAGAACAGAGAGAAACATCGATGGCATAACTACATATAATCATGTCCAATAGAATCATACAAAGTCATACAAAATCAGTGCAGAAACAATCAGGATCTTAGATTCGAGCCGGCAAAGAGGAAATGAAGGAATCCCACGGGAGCTAAATCAACTCAAATACAGCAGACAAACAATTATGTAAAGCAGTCAAATACTCCATCCGTCTTACTTCAGCAATAAGTTTGTACAAAGTCAGCAGTGTGGGGGGAGTAGAAGATAACCAACCCATAGGAATACTTCTCCTGGCCGCGGTCAACACGTGAGCAGCAAGTTTTCTGGCTGGATTAGATAGACCCGGGAATGGCAAGCCCAGCAAAAAATGCAGAGGGTCAAAAGGGAGCGAGGCATGCAGCATTGATTGCAACAAGGAACGGACATCCTCCCAAAAAGGAACAATAGATTTACAAGTCCAAAAAATATGATAGAGAGAACCTGAATCCTTACCACAGCGCCAGCAGACAGGAGAAGCACTCGGGTTGAAAGCATGAAGAACCTCAGGTGTTTTGTACCATAACATCATAATCTTATAAATGTTTTCCTTAAAAACCACACAAACAGAAGATTTAGATGCAGTTACCCAAATATTCTTCCACATCAGTAAATCAATATCACGTTGTACAAACTGAGACCACCTACGCATGTAAAGGTTGTGAGTTTCATTAGATAAAGGGGATGCAGCCATAAGAATTTTATAAGTATTGGAGATAATACCCCTTTGGTGGGGGCTCTGCATACATAAACGTTCGAAGGGTGTAGGCTTCCCCAGGATCAATGAGGGTGATAGAGTAGAGGAAAAATGGCGTATTTGGAAATATATATATAGGTGATGAGGAGGTAAAGAAGCTTTTTTCTGGAGATCCGGGAATGAATGTAATTTACGAGTCACCGATGTACCAAGTGACGCAATTGAAAAAGGTTAGATACCACCCAAAGAGACATCCGAGATATGGCCATATTGTCTGGCAGGTTAGGGTTGTAGAGGATATTTGTCAAAGGGGAGCATTCAGAGGCTAGAGAAAATTGAGTCTTACATTTCTGCCATACCGTCAATGAAAATTGCATGGGACCAAGGAATAGATGGCGGAAGGAAGAGATATCCACTGCCGCGGTGGACCAAAGAAGGGAACATGGATGAACTGGGGACAGTTGTAAAGATTCAATCTCAGTCCATGTGTTGGGAGGGTGTTGCGTGGACCATGACAGAAGAAAACTAAGGTGAGTTGCATAATAATACTTGATTATATCCCGGCGCTCCCAGACCTCCCCTAGAACGTGGAGGAGAAAGCAGAACAGAACGTGCAATCCTGTGCCGCATATTGTGCCAGATAAAGTGTAGGAAAGATTTCTGAAGTGAGTGAAGCTTGGACATAGGAACGGGAACGGGGAGAGTTGCAAACAAGTACAAGAGTTTGGGTAACACGGTCATTTTTAGAACGTTAACGCGACCGAGAAAAGAGATGGGCAAGGCATCCCAACGTTTCAGAGAGCGAGAGATTGCTATAAACAAAGGGGGGAAATTGGCCTCGTATATGGATTGGTAAGAGAGAGAAATATTAGTACCTAAATATTTTAAGAGTGTGTGCACCACCGGTAGGGAAAGGCTTCCTGAAGCGAGGACAAAACGATAGGTGGGATATGTATTGGGGGAGTGCCTCAGTTTTGGACGTATTGACTTTGTAACCTGAAATAGCCCCAAATTGTTTCAAGGACTTATGCAAAATCGGTAAAGAAGTATGGGGACTCGTAAGCGTGAGAAGAATGTCATCTGCAAATAACGATAATTTGTACTCATGGGAATGTGACTGTATCCCGTGAATATCCGGGTTTGACCTAATAGCGATGGCTAGAGGTTCCAGACAAAGAATAAACAGTAAAGGAGAGAGTGGGCAGCCCTGACGCGTTCCGTTTGACATCTGAAAGGGAGGCGAGAGAAAAGAAGCTAATCTGACCTGTGAAAGGGGGAATGAATAGAGGGCCTGCAAAGCTGCTACAAATGGACCTTTGAAACCAAATCTCTCCAAGACAATGAACATATAAGGCCAGCTTAAACGGTCGAAAGCTTTTTGAGCGTCCAAGCTTAATAACACTGTAGGGGTAGAGGACCTGTTAACCAGATCAACCAGATCAATAGTTCTCCTAGTGTTATCTGCGGCATGTCTGGCAGGTACAAAGCCCACTTGATCCCTATGTATGATCTTGGAGATGATTCCGGACAATCGGTTGGCTAAAATTTTGGTAAAAATCTTATAATCGGAATTGAGTAGGGCAATGGGGCGGTAGTTGTCCACGATAGAATGGTCCTTATCGGGTTTAGGGATGACCCAGATATATGCACGGGAGAATTCAGTCTGAGGTATAATTCCCTTAAAAAGATCGTGATATAGAGAGAGGAGATGCGGTGCCAGAATACCAATAAATGTTTTATAGTAGGAGTAGGGCAATCCGTCCGGTCCCGGAGCTTTACGAGAAGGGCAGAAGTTTGATTGTGTCCAGTAATTCCTCCTAGGGTAATGTCAGCATTAAGGGTGGCAGTGTCCAAAGGTGAAATACTCGGGAGTGACAATGTATCAAAAAAATTGTCAAATAATGACTGTGTGAGGGGTGGGTGCAGGTCCGGGGTTAAACAGTTATACAATTTCCCGTAAAATGAGCCAAAAAGAGTTTTGAGTTGCCATAGCCCGAGGATCGTAAGTGGGGCTTCCATCTGGCTGTATTAGTAAGTCAGGCATCGTGGAAGGGGACTGAGCTTTGAGACGATTGACTAACATACGATGGGGCTTATTGGAAAATTCATAGAATTTCTGCTTGACCCAAAGGAGGGATTGAGCAGTCCTACTGGAGTCAAGAGCTTTTAACCTGATCCCAGTAGAGAAATTACCCTCTGGAGCCCAGAATAGATGGCTTAGCCAATAACTTTTTATACGACCGACCTTCCGCCCAAGATAGCTGGAGGAGTTTACGGAACCAACATTATGGGTGAAATAAGTATCAAGTCCCTGCGATAATTCATCTCTAAGATGGTCTGTGGAAAGAAAGGTCTCATTAAGGCGCCAATGACAAGGTTTGGATATAAGAGGGGGGAAAAAAAAGGTTTAAAGTCAAAGAGGCATGGTCGGACCAAGTAATGGGATTAATAACAGAAGATACCAGAAGTGGAAGCAATGGAGCAGAAACAAAAAAATGGTCTAGGCGAGAATAACTACGGTGAGGGGTAGAGTAAAAAGTGAACTGTTTATGGAGAGGATGTTTAAATCCGCCATGCGTCAAAGAGACGATGCTCCCTATTTAATCTACGAAAGGATTTTGAAGAGGAGCATTGCCGCTTCGAGGGAGAGGGACTCAAAAAGAACCTTCCTGTCTTTATGGGGGAAAGAATCAGATTAAAATCTCCCCCAACTATCACCTGCGAAGTGGAAAAGGAATCCAGTTCGGCGAGTGTTTGGGATAGAAATTGCAATTGGCCTGTGTTAGGGGCGTAATAAATTCAGCAGAACTATGGGAGTCTCACCAAACCATACACTCCAGAAGAATGAAACGACCCTGTCAGTCAACTTTGGAGGAAACAACCCGAAGGGAGCAATGTGACCCAATCAAAATTGCCGCTAACCGCCTTCCCAGAAGGATCAAAGGCCGAGTAGGCACGGGGAAAAAATCTCGAGGCAAAACGAAAGGAGCCTGTAGATTTGAAATGGGTCTCTTGGACAAAATGATAATCTGCTCCTGAGGATCGAAATTCCTTCAAAGCCATCCTCCTTTTTTGAATAGAGTTGAGG